ACACACACACACACACACACACACACACACACACACACACACACACACACACACACACACACACACACACACACACACACACACACACACACACACACACACACAGAGTACAATGACAAGTTATAAGCACCTGTAATTGTCATTATGCACTGAAACATGATCTGTACTTCAGCACATGGGGCACTGCTGCTTCACACTAAAAGCACTCTCATGCATGAGAGGTCATTCCACCGTTCCTGGCTCTCCTGATGCTCATTAATTCTCATTCCTCAACAGCATGACAAATGTTAATATGCTTGCTAATAAGATCACCCAATATGTTCCATTCAAATAAAAGCAATAGTTCACCACAAAATGAACATCAGCCATGTCATTCCAAAATGGTATGACTTATTTCCTTGCATAGAACCAAGCGCCCTTTTTTCAATATAGTGAAAGCAAATAGTGACCAACGATAGCAGCTTGGTCATTGTTAAATAACTCTTAGTTTTCGACACTAGAAAGTTATTTGGTCGGAACATGATAGTAAGTGCATGATGACACAACTTTCACTTTTGAGTTAACTATCCCTTTAAAGTGCCCCTATTATGCCATTTTTAACATTCCTAAAATTGTTTTGGGAGTCTCCTACAATAGGTTTACATGCATGCAAGGTCAAACAACACTTTAGTTTTCTCAAAATATGCATTTAGTATCACCTCATTTTCCAGCGATTCTCAAATGATTTGTTCAAAGCAGTTCTAAGGTTCAGTGTTGCTAAACCCCTCCTTTCCGTGAGCCTACTCTGCTCTGATTGGTCAGCTGGCCCAGTCTGTTGTGATTGGTCTACCGCGTACAGTGCGTGTCGGACACAATATGCCCATTGTCATAGTTCTGTATTTTAAACGCTTGATAGAAAATATAAACATCTATTATTAATCATACTTACAAGTTGTGATTCAGTAGAGGTAGCTGGTCCAAATAAACTGGGTACAGCGCCATCTTTCAAGAGCAAGCATTTTGTGAATCCCGCATTGAACTCACAGAGATTAGAGAAGCAGTCGTCAGTAAAATGACGTGTTTGAGGGCGGGTCAAGTTGTTCGCGGCCGGCCTACGTAGAACATAGGCGGCCATTATGCAAATGTGTTACTAACGACTCGTTCAGGTTGTTCAGGGTCGATTCTTTCTTTTGTGAGACAATAACTTTATTTATCGTGCACTTTCGTTTTTACAACTTTGCAGATCGTTTGCATTCACATACAGCTACATTACACACTGCATGAAAGGCAATATTCAAAATGGCATAACAGGGGCACTTTAATACCATAAGTATCACACATTCGGGAAACGGGAGTAATAAGTCCATTGGCAACATAAAAGCAGAGTCACTATTTCACTCTAATCAAAAAAAGGAATGAGAAAAACAGGGAGCAACCTGGAGGCGAAGAGAAGGATGAGTATTACAAGCAGCAAAATAAAAAACTGGGAAACGAGAGAGTTACAGAGAGACAACACAGAGCAGGTATTGAAGCACAAAGAGACGTGAATAATAGAGGGAGATAAAGAGAAGCAATTTACATTCCAAACAACTTCTATGTATATCTTTAAATGCTATATTTTAAAGTATTGTAATTATTCTACGACAAGAATATCCAATTAAGATAAATGTTTCTCACAAATGTTTTTGTGAAAAAGGAGATTGACCACCAATCAGAGAAAGTGTACGAGGAGGAGAAATGTCCAGTAGAATCAATTGCATGCTTAGAATATAATTGAACAAAGCACTGAAGCCTAATACAGATGAAAGTAAAATGAATAAAATATTGCAATGCACCACAGCTGATTAACTACACACTAAACAAACAAAATGAAATATTGATGTATTGGGACCTAGACATGGATATACACAAATGTTCAAAAGTGAGTTCAGTAATATTCTTTTTGAAAGAAAGTGATACTTCTATTCAACAAGGATGCATTAAACTGATCAAATGTGACAGTATAGGCTTTTACATTATTACAAAAGATTTCTATTGTTGATGAAAACTAGAGTAATAGATGCTGAAAAATCAGCTTTTCATTTCAAGAATCAGAAATCCCATTTTAAAATATATTAAAATAGAAAACAGTTTTTTTTTATTGTAACAATATTACTTGCAATAATGTTACTGTTTTACTGTCTTTTTGATCAAATAAATGCAGTCATGGTGAGCGTAAGAGATTTCTCTTATTAAAAAAAAATTCTAATAATAATAATAATAATCTAATAATATTTTATCACCAGGTCCCTGCTGATACGGATTCATATGAAGCATGAGAGTAAACTGTTAGAAACAGACAGTTATAACTGTAAGTATAAAGTTATTTTCAAACCATTCACGATGAGAGTACCTCAGTCTGGGAAGTGATATTAAGCCATGCTGCCACAAACAACCTGCTTGAACGTGTCTGAACATTTCACATTGCCCAGAGGCAGTTAAGCGTTTTTAGGGGGAAAAAAATAAATGAATTCTGTGGAAAAATGTCTTCCTGTGAAGCAGCTGTCAGACTTAAGGCTGTTCAGGCAGTTTTCCTTACGTAAGAAAATGTAGTTGAATGTGTAAAATGTAGCCATCAATAACCCCTAGTTTCAAATAAAAGTTCAGTGCATTTTCTTGTCAGGCACAAATCATGTTTGCAATGCGCACAGAGTAAAGAGAAAGAGGGAAACCAAGACATGAGCGGGTGGGGAAGGAGAAGAAAAAGACAAAGAGAATGAGGAAAGGAGAACTAGATGGAAAGAGAGAAAGATACCTCTTTCGGAAGATTTTGAAATATGCTTTTGTTTGAAAGTGTCTGAAAGAGAGAAAAGAGAAAGAAAAGGAGAGAAAGAAAGACAGAAAGACTCACAGACTGACAACAAGAATCAGGAGAAAAACTCATAAAGAACATCTGCATCACAGTATTATGACACATTTAAGGGCAAAGACACAAAGGCAGAGAATAGAGATCCAGACCAGAACTATGAAAAAACAACATGAAACCATATGGACATTAAGTAGAAACTGTCCTCTGGTTTAGAAAATTAAGCTTACTAGTTTAATCAGGATATATGTGGGATTTGTAAATTACAGCATACAGTATAAAGGAGAATGCTTTTATTTTTTTAAAGATCTTTTCAACAAAAATATAAATTTTTTGTTTTTTGTACTTCTGGCCTTCATGAGTAGACAATAAAGAGCTGACTAAGAAATTATTCAAGTTCAGCATGTCAAATGAGGAAAACCTGGAAAAATGTGACCCTGGACCACAAAACCAGTCTAAAAGAGCAGGTCATATGCGTTTTTGAAAAATATCTCTTTTGCAGTTTATAACGTACCTATCCTTAAATGAAAACAATCTGCAAAGTTGTTAATCAAAAAAAGTACATGATAAATAAAGATATTGTCTCTCTAAAGAGAGAGTAGATTCTGAATCGCCTTAACGAGTCGTCGTATTTTCGAATCTTTTGCCTGTTACGGGTATACGTCACTGGGTAACACATTTGCATTATCCCCGCCTGCCCGCGAGTCTGACCTGCCCACAAACACTTCCGCTAGTTAGTGTGTTTACATCATGTTGAGAAGACGCTGTGTTCAAGGATACCACAGAAATACAATTCAAACCTTTTGTTGTGTGCTTGTCATTTCACTGCGGACTGCTTCTCTAATCTTGGCTTTTATCTTCGTTGGCTTCTAATCTTCTTAATTTGGACTAACACCCGTCTCCGAACCACAACCTGTAAGTACGATTGATACGTTATGTGTACATTTTCAATTGAGTGCTCAAAATATCACGTTTTTGTGCTAATATGTGATGTACACCTAGTGCAGCTTTAGGTTTCCAGGTAAAGCACGATATTACTGTCTTACTGAAATAGTTCTGATAATTCGCTCTGAATCCACTATTTCCTAAGAATGTGTCGATTAATGTAGACCGGCGTTGTTCTAATTACTTCGTTTAATAATAAAGAATGTAGTGTAGCGCACAGACTTTATAATCATTGTGAAATTGCTGTTTATTTTGCTGCACCGGCAGTTATAGGGTTAATGCGGGAGGCTGGTGCGCCTGTTCAGACATTACAGTAGACATATTTTGGATTACAAACTGTATTGTTTCATCAGTTAGTCACGTTAGCACTCGACTAACGTATCCACCATTATTGTTTTAAGTGTTCACAGTTTAGCAGCTAAACTTTAGCTGTGGGCACGATTCGCTTGCACAAGTGTTTTTGTATTTTATGTCATTATTATAAGAACGGATCGGAGCACTATATTATTGTTTTATGTAAAGGTGCTTTGTCAATAGTAGTGCTCGCTAACTTGCTCAAGGACTCCTCTCTGTGCCAATCACAGCAGGCTTGGCCAGCTGACCAATCAGAGCAGAGTAGGTTTATGGAAGGGAGGGGTTTGCTCCGAACTTGCTTGGAACGAATCGTTTCGAAATCATTGGCAAATTACTCTAATATTAAATGTATATTCTGAGAAAATTACAATGTTTTCTGACCTCAGATGCATTTAAACCTGTTATAGGGGACTCCAACACAATATTAGGACACTTTAAAATACCATATGACCTGCTCTTTAAGTCTCTGGGGTATATTTGTAGCAATAGCCAAAAATACATTGTATGGGTCAAAATTATTGATTTTCTTTTATGCCAAAAGTCTAAGGATATTAAGTAAAGATCATGGTCCATGAAGATATTTTGTAAATGTCCTACTGTAAATATATTAAAACTTAATTTTTGATAAGTAATATTCATTAAGAACTTCATTTGGACAACTTTAAAGGCGATTTTCTCAATATTTAGATTTTTTTTTGCACCCTCAGATTCCAGATTTTCAAATAGCTGTATCTCTGCGAAATATTGTCCTATCCTAACAAACCATACATCACATCACAGATGATGTATAAATCTCAATTTCGAAAATTTGACCCTTATGACTGGTTTTGTGGTCCAGGGTCAAAAAAGATAATATCTGGTACTTTTTGCAAGCTTTCATGTGGTGAAGCTCATCGTGACCAGCTATGCTGAGAAGGGGTGACACAGATCTTTGATTGTGACTGGATGCGTTACAGTATAGCTCAGCCTATTTATAGCAAAAAGGAGTCAATCTCCAGATGAGATCACAGAGAGGTCAGCTGGTGAGAGTCATGTGGTTTCCTTGAATGCTGAATGAGACTCACTGTCACAGGCGTACGGTTTGTCCTGATCCTCCAAAGCAGCTGCTGCTTCCAACTTCTTCCTAGCACTGCTGACACCACGACCCTGTGAAACCGATATTATCATAAATGTATCCTTTTAGATGTGTTTTGCTAACACAAATTAGGGGCCATATTTTAACGATCCAAGCGCATGGGCTAAAGCGCATGGCGCAAGTGCACTTAGGGCGTGTCCGAATCCACTTTTAGCGACGGGAAAAATGGACGCCGTGCCCGCCGCATGGGCTAAAAGTGTTGTCCCAATTCTCTTAATGAGTAATGGGTGTGTTTTGGGAGTAGTGTGCAATAAACCAATCAGAGTCTCATCTCCCATTCCCTTTAAAAGCCGGTTGTGCTCGTGCCATGGCGGATTCGCTTTTTACATGGCAGAATTTGCAAGAGCAAAGACTGAACACTTCTCCAGAGAGGAAAGGTTCTGCTCGTGCGTGAGGTTACAGTGAGTGAGCAGACCATATACAGGGCACAATAATAATCTTTCACATAGTAATCCTTTCATTTTTAATATTTGGAATGTTCTTCTGCGTGTCCCTGTGTGTGTAATAAGCAGTGTACGCGCGTTGTTCACCCTCCTATAGGCGCATATTACTAACGCGCTCTTTAAATAACAAAAAAAAAATGCACGATTGACTTTAGACCAGGTTTCAGTAGGTCAATGGCGCAGTCTATTTCAGTTGCCTCAAAATAGCAACACGCCAACAATGCGCCTGAACACACCTCGTTTTCAGACCAATGGGCACAAATGCATTTGCCATTTAAACAATGTGATGCAGGACGTGAAAATTATATCTCTGTCGGGCTGAAACTAGCAAAAAACACTTGCGTTGCACCTGGCGCCAGGTGTATGATATGGCATTGTACATGCATGCAAGTTTAGAAGATCAAGAGTTCACCTTTCCCTTGCCTTTTCCCCGTCTTTTTGGAGCATCTTCTTCATAATCTTCATCGTCCAGATCATCTAAAAAATCATCTGGCTCCAAAATTCTCTACACACAAAAGTGTGAAAACCAATCAGACAGAATAACTAAGCAAGGTGAGATAAAAAAAAAAAACAACAACAGTGACACCTCCAATCAAAATCATAAGCTGTTTTCTCAGTACTTTACGGATCCTGCTGCTGGGGTTTAGTCCCCCGGTAGAGTACTCTGTAGAGCTGGGCTCCTCCTCCCCTGTGCGGAGCTCCAATCCAGATCTTTTATCCAGTGGCTCTCCCTTCAGAAGAGCCTCTAAGCTGCTGCCATCACTGGAGAAAACGTCCTTCTTAAGCCCCAGATCCAGCTCTGAAACATACATACGCACATTCACATCCATAGGCAACTGCACAGAGATGGATAGAAATGTCATCAAAACATACAACTTAAATTAAAACTTAATTACAGGAAAATGAAACAAATACCTAAACACAAATCTATGAATGGCCTACACACAGGGAATTACATAAAAACAGCCTCAAATAACATATCTTTACTTTTATTAGACCAAGGAAGTGAGTGGTTGTGTACCGGGCTTTAGGGATGGGAAGGCTAGACGAGGGTCCTCTGGATGATTAGCTCTCCTCTTCTTTCTCCAGCGTCGTGCTGGATATGTGTACAACTGACCTGGGGCAACACCTTTGGGGAGAGAGGCATGAAAAAGATACATACAGTAAGTCATGTCTTAAGGCCTTTTCACGCTGAACGTGAAAATTCGGTGCGATGACGCTTTTGAATCAAAACAATAGATCCCTATGGGGCTATTCACACCAGGCGCGATTATTTGCAGCGTGAAAAAGCGAGAATGTTTTTCTGCCATGTGTGTCGATTTTTTCCCCGTCACTCCACGATGAAACGGGCCGTCCAATCAGATTTGAGATTACATCATGTGCCCGGAGCAGCTGCTGTTGCACAAAAGGGCAAGAGTGGTGGCGCTGTTTTGAAAACCAGTGTAAACAAATACCGAAGAAGAGAGTGGAAGCTGAGTTCTTGTTATCATTAGTATCTGAGAACAGATTTATTCACACGTTCTTTATACAGAATATAATTTCTGTTCATTTGCCACTGAATTATGTGATCTGAAGAGCACTGTCTGTTTTCTTCCACGTGTGTGAGTGTTATGAGTCAGAGTACGTTCAGATCTGTCAATCATGTGATCATATCTCCAGCCATTCCGTATATTAAAAAAAAGCATTTAAAACAAGTATTATACATAGTTTGTGTTTCTGGTGTAGAACCAAACTTTATCTTAATTTAATGCTGCGTATTGAGCAGCGAACGATGTTAACTCCATATACAAGATACATATCTGAGGTTGTTGGTCAGCACCACTTAGCATGTATTCAATTCAATTCAAGTTTATTTGTATAGCGCTTTTCACAATACAAATAGTTGCAAAGCAGCTTTACAGAAAATTAAGTTTCTACAATATATTTAGTTGTAGCTTATCAGTGGTGACTATGTCAAATTGATATACAGTGGTGTGAAAAAGTGTTGGCCCCCTTCCTGTTTTTTTTTTTTTTTTTTTATTTACATTTGTTTGATGATCTGAAACATTAAAGTGTGACAAACATGCAAAAAAATAAGAAATCAGGAAGGGGGCCAACACTTTTTCACACCACTGTACATATGGCAGAAATGTACGGAAAAATCAATTAAAGACGTAATCAAACAGACGATGAACACCATTAACAGCAATTATTATATGATGCAATCAAACTTGTAGCAATAAAATGCTACAAGTATGCATGTAGGCATGAATTAGCAGAGGGCGATCAATCGTTTCACACTCCGTGTAAAAGCACCATTCGTCGGCGATTCGCCTCGCATTTTCGCATCACGCTCAGTGTGGAAAGGCCTTTAAGTGAAAATAAGGGAAGGCATAAAAACACTGTAAAAAATGTAAATCCAATTTATTATTTACTTATTTGAGAAATATTTATAATAATTTGTGTGTGTGTGTGTGTGTGTATATATAACATATTATTAGTAGATGTAGATAGATAAAAATATAGAGATATTAATTATATTGTTGTATAATTATATAAACTCTGTTTACTTGAAATATTTTATTTACATAAATTCATGTTAATAGACACTACTGTGCAAAAGTCTTTGGCCACTAGTATTTTTCACCAAAAAAAAAAGGTTTTAAGCCAGTTATTTTTATCTTTTGCTGTAGTGTGTCAGTAGGAATTATCAGTTTACATTTCCAAACATTCCTTTTGCCATTAATTGTAATAATCCAGTGAGATTTTTGTATGCACACAGAGTATAACAACAGCCGTGCTCCACACAGAGATCTGATCTCACCATTATCGAGTCCGTCTGGGATTACTTGAAGAAACAGTAAAAACTGAGACAGCCTAAATGTAGAACTGTGGCAACTCCAAGATGCTTGAAGAAACCTACCTGCACACTACCTGTCGTGTATTTAGATATATGCATATGAAAATAATATATAGTTAAATGTTATAATTAAAATTCTATAAAAAATTTGAATTTTATTTATTTAATAATTAACTTGTATTGGTATCAACTCATTTTGAAATTGACAACAACTGTATTGGTTTGAACTAATTTTGGTGTCAACTCAATGCTTAAAAAAAAACAAAAAAAACACTTCAGTTCTGTAAAGAGATTAGTGAGTGAGTGAGTGAGTGAGTGTGTGTGTGTGTGTCCCACCTGGTCCTCTGTGCCGTTTCTCCATCCAGAAGTAGCAGTTGCTCTGGGCGACACCTGTCTGAGAGTCGAGGAAGGGCATCCTCACGCTCCTCTCTGCGCACAAACGGGCATTATAGTTGTGACACTGCTCCATAGCGTCCCTGTAATACTGCTCACCCAGCCTACAGACAGAGAAACAAGGCCTACAATAAATGCAACAGCCTGAATCAAATCTAAGTTCTACAAGAGGAGCTTTCTGAAACTCACACAGAGTCTAGAGAAGCCATTTTTGTCAGCGACAAGCGATAGTGTGTCAACACACACCCTACCACTGCCTCCCTGAAACTAGCTCAACCCTGTTCAGCTTAGCCACCCGTGTGTGTTTGTATGCAGCAGGAGGTCTTGCAGGCATGCAGCTCAGTCATTGTAACGCTCTCACTCCAGCCACTTAGCAGGTGCCGCTGCCACCCATCACCCCGGCAACCACTAAGAGGCCCGGAGAGAGCACAGGCTAGCTAAAGCCCATGAGATTAGAGCACAGACGGGCGTTGATGTCACAGAGGATGAAACAAAAGCTTAAAGCTTTGCGGTGTTAGAACCAAGAGCTCTGAGGGGTTTAAAGCCCAGACAACAAAACATCTCTGGGATGATCGTCCGCCTCCAAGACGCCAAAAGACAGAGCTGCAGCTTCAAAAGACTCTTGCTCAAAGGGAAAGCACATTCCACAAACCAGACACTCTAACCACATGAACACCTGCTATTAAGATCCACTTTATGGACCGCTCTAAATCCAGGTGTAAATGGGGTCCTGTTTCAAACCATATTCAGAGGTAGTCAGAAATGTGACCACACTGAATTGGTGTAAACACTAATGCACCCTGATTCCTTCCAGACAACAACAAATAACCACCTATTCACCTGTCAAACATTAAGACTAATTTCGTATCAGATGAGCCACGTTGTAAAATGACTACAAATGCACAACCATAAACAGCCATGAATGCTGTGAATGTGCATGTGCTTTTTTAATTTACTTTCAGCCGTGGAAGATCTTAAAGGGGTCATGAACTGAGAAATCAAAATTCCCTTGATCTTTTGACATAAGAGGTTGTTGTACTACAAAAACATCCTGCAAGTTTCAGAAGTCAAACTTTCTTGTTAGTCTAAAAACAGCTTATATTGAAGTCAATCTGCCAAAATGACAGGTTGTGGAATGTGCCACTTTATGACGTAATAGTGTGGCTAAACCCCACTTCCGCAGAGGAAAATCAACGCCTGCTTCTATATCACTGTCTGTTTAGTTTTTAACCTAACATCACAGCAGCGTCCATCTGTGAAGGATGTAGGCTGTCAAACATATACAACTGGTAGCCAATCTTAGCAGTGGGTGTTTACTTCTGAGCTCTACAATCTGCCACACCTATTCAAACAGAGCATTAAGATGAGGGGGTCAAAACAGGACAGAAAATAGCCTATTACTTCTAAATTATGTTTTTCGATGTAAAAATCTTGATAACATTATAAGTGGCCCTCGGAGAACAGCACTAAATGATAAAAAAAGCAGTTCATGACAGTTCCTTTAACACCAGGTATAAACAGAGCCAGTCACAGCACTGATTACCTACACAATGCTAACATGAATAGTAACCCTACACCTTAAAGTGCCCCTATTATGCCATTTCGAATATTGCCTTTCATGCAGTGTGTAATGTAGCTGTATGTGAAAGCAAACAATCTGCAAAGTTGTAAAGTTGAAAGTGCACGATAAATAAAGTTATTGTCTCCCAAAAGAAAGAATCGACTTTGAACAGCCTGAACGAGTCGTCAGTAATTCGAAACATACTTAAGTGACGACTACACATCACGGGATAATACATTTGCATAATGGTCACCTAATTGACCCGCCCTCAAATACATAATTTTACTGACGACTGCTTCTCTAATCTCTGTGAATTCAATGCGGGATTCACAAAATGCTTGCTCTTGAAAGATGGCGCAGTACCCAGTTTATTTGGACCAGCTACCTCTACTGAATCACAACTTGTAAGTATGATAAATAATAGATGTTTATATTTTCTATCGAGCATTTAAAATACAGAACTATGACAATGGGCATATTGTTTCCGACACACACTGTACGCGGTAGACCAATCACAACAGACTGGGCCAGCTGACCAATCAGAGCAGAGTAGGCTCACGGAAAGGAGGGGTTTAGAGAGACTGAACCTTAGAACTGCTTTGAACAAATCGTTTGAGAATCGCTGGAAAATTAGGTGATATTAAATACATATTTTGAGAAAGCAAAAGCCTTGTTTGACCTTGCATGCATGTACAGTGGGGAAAAAAAGTATTTAGTCAGCCACCAATTGTGCAAGTTCTCCCACTTAAAAAGATGAGAGAGGCCTGTAATTTTCATCATAGGTATACCTCAACTATGAGAGACAAAATGAGAAAAAAAAATCCAGAAAATCACATTGTAGGATTTTTAAAGAAATTATTTGCAAATTATGGTGGAAAATAAGTATTTGGTCAATAACAAAATTGCATCTCAATACTTTGTTATATACCCTTTGTTGGCAATGACAGAGGTCAAACGTTTTCTGTAAGTCTTCACAAGGTTGTCACACGCTGTTGCTGGTATTTTGGCCCATTCCTCCATGCAGATCTCCTCTAGAGCAGTAATGATTTGGGGCTGTCGCTGGGCAACACAGATTTTCAACTCCCTCCAAAGATTTTCTATGGGGTTGAGATCTGGAGACCGGCTAGGCCACTCCAGGACCTTGAAATGCTTCCTACGAAGCCACTCCTTCATTGCCCGGGCGGTGTGTTTGGGATCATTGTCATGCTGAAAGACCCAGCCACGTTTCATCTTCAATGCCCTTGCTGATGGAAGGAGGTTTTCACTCAAAATCTCACGATACATGGCCCCATTCATTCTTTCGTTTACACAGATCAGTCGTCCTGGTCCCTTTGCAGAAAAACAGCCCCAAAGGGGAGCCAGAGGCTTTGTGGGCAGATCAATATCATGCCTGCTCAAGGACCTGGGACTACGGGGAGCCACACTGAGCAGATCCACCAAAGAGCTCTCTGAGGAAGCGGAGAAAGCAAGCCACTGGCTCTGGCTGAAACGACGAGACAAGGCTTGGGGAGTAACATCGAATTAGGTTTTGCTGCAGGGGGTGTCAGGGAGACGTCCCTGTTCACTGCCCCGCCACCAGGAGACGTTCTGGGTTAAGGGGCGAAACGTCAATGAGCGGTGGTCCTCAGCTGAAGACCCTGCAGAAAACCACGTGGTATGCGGTCAGGTTTAGGCCTGCCTCAGGGAAGAGGACGCCCCTGCCATGCATAGTCCACCATAGGCACCGTAGGAGGTGCGACAGGCCTAAGGTCCAGCAGAAAGACCACCTCGCTGTAATGAATAATTGTAGGAGACTCCCAAAACAATATTAGGAATGTTAAAAATGGCATAATAGGGGCACTTTAATCTTAGTATAGCACTGGTAGCACATCCTGTTAGCAGCATTGTTATGGTTGACTAAAACAGTCTAAAACTAAAAACTGTTTTTATTAATTGAGATAATACTGAAATTTAAACCGATGAGAAAATATATGTAATGCATAACAAAAATGAGAGGTGTTGCCTTGGCAACTAACTAAAATAAATTAAGTTGAAGTTTAAGTACTAAAATCTAGGGCTGGGACAATAAATCGATGCATTGCGAATCGAGAAATGATTCTGCATCTATTCTGAGATTTTCCGAAGGCATCGCGATTCTCTATTGAATCAATTCTGAGCTAGGGCTGGGCGATTTGGTTAATTTTTATCTTGATTTTTTTCATAACGTTTGACCGATTCTCGATTTTTTTATGATGTTTAATTAGTCAACTTGATAATGTAACTAAAACATGATTCAAGTAACTTTTTCTTTATTAACCCTCTTATTTAAAGAAAATTCTATTCCAAGTGCACCACACATGTTGTCAACATGATGTAAATGTTAAACAAATCACTTAAGTATCTTTGCAGAAAAGATGCATGAAATTCAACTACACTGAACAAAATTATAAACGCAACACTTTTGTTTTTGCCCCCATTTGTCATGAGCTGAACTCAAAGATCTAAGACTTTTTCTATGTACACAAAAGGCCTATTTCTCTCAAATATTGTTCACAAATCTGTCTAAATCTGTGTTAGTGAGCACTTCTCCTTTGCCGAGAAAATCCATGGCAGTTTGTCGTCGTAACCGACATTCAATGGCGTCTGGCACTTTGGAGAGGTGTTCTCTTCACGGATGAATCCCGGTTTTCACTGTACAGGGCAGATGGCAGACAGTGTGTATGGCATCGTGTGGGTGATGTCAACGTTGTGGATCGAGTGGCCCATGGTGGCGGTGGGGTTATGGTATGGGGATGCGTATGTTATGGACAACGAACACAGGTTCATTTTATTGATGGCAATTTGAATGCACAGAGTTACCGTGACGAGATCCTGAGGCCCATTGTTGTGCCATTCATCCACGACCATCACCTCATGTTGCAGCATGATAATGCACGGCCCCATGTTGCAAGGATCTGTACACAATTCCTGGAAGCTGAAAACATCCCAGTTCTTGCATGGCCAGCATACTCACCGGACATGTCACCCATTGAGCATGTTTGGGATGCTCTGGATCGGCGTATACGACAGCGTGTTCCAGTTCCTGCCAATATCCAGCAACTTCTCATCAGCCATTGAAGAGGTGTGGACCAACATTCCACAGGCCACAATCAACAACCTGATCAACTCTATGCGAAGGAGATGTGTTGCACTGCGTGAGGCAAATGGGGGTCACACCAGATACTGACTGGTTTTCGGACCCCCCAATACAGTAAAACTGCACATTTTAGAGTGGCCTTTTATTGTGGCCAGCCTAAGGCACACCTGTGCAATAATCATGCTGTCTAATCAGCATCTTGATATGCCACACCTGTGAGGTGGATGGATTATCTCGGCAAATGAGAAGTGCTCACTAACACAGATTTAGACAGATTTGTGAACAATATTTGAGAAATAGGCCTTTTGTGTACATAGAAAAAGTCTTAGATCTTTGAGTTCAGCTCATGAAAAATGGGGGCAAAAACAAAAGGTGTTGCGTTTATAATTTTGTTCAGTGTACATCTTGTACAAATTATATGTTGAGAA